CTCCGTGTTTTTTGTTTGTTAATTCATATTTGAATAGCGCTGTCAAATACGTGTGGGATCTATAATATCGTAGCATAGCGGGGGTAAGGGGTGAGGGAGGGTTGGCGTCAATAATTGCTACCCAACACTGGTATGCCTGACATCTAATTGCAATCAATGGGCGACTGAATGGCTATTTAGTGATTCGTTTGGCAACTCTTTTTCAGTGAACTATTTAGCGGAATATTCGTTGATTTATGCGATACTTCGCTCGTCTAATGTATTAATATATCGTATTTTTATGCCATTTATGCAAAAATATTAATACTTAAAAACATCGACGCGTTTATTATTCACCGAAATATAAATGAGAAGTTATTTCAGGAAAAACTAATGGCCAGCCATTTGGCTGAATGTATGAATGAATGTAGTCTTACAATAGGAGTACTACTATTGCCTATCGATAGCGCCATTACTATACACTACACACCAGCGCTGTAACAGTGAAATGCCATTCAATAAATATAATGTATTGAAGTTTTACTCCAATTTCTATATAACACTTATAGTATAGTAGAGAAAAAATCTATAAAAATATAGTATTAGTATCGATACAACACTCATTGAAATTAGTTTTGGACATTTGGACACTGAGAGTGAGCCGATTCACCAATATCACTTTAGTTTATTGTGTTTCCAGTTGTACCAGTGCTCTCTCTCTCTCTCTCTCTCCCTCTCTCATTTCAATAATATCTGTAATATTGTAATATTGTATTCAGTATTCAGTTTTTCTGATTTATTTATAGAAATCAATTCACTACTACTATACATACTGTATGTGTGTTGCATTCAAATCGCAATTACACTCAATAAAAGTTCAATTCATGTAATATTAGTTTGAATATAAATCTAAACAATTAATTAAATGAGATAACTATTGGCAAAATAAATTTTTACTTTCACTTAATTAAATAAATATATAGGAAAACGGTTATAATGATAAAAACGATAAAAATGAATTCCTATTGAAAATACCGATACATACAGTCGTTATACCAGTATTGATATAAGTTTAAGAATAAGTTTGCAAAACTAATCCCTTAAGTAACTTATAAATGGGATGAAAATCGTATATTGAAAGTCAAATAAATGAGATATTATTATATGTTATGTTATATAATACAGTGCAGTATATAAATACACACATATAATGTTTGGGCATCTATTTGTCGCATTCAACTGCCGTTTTCTCTACTGATCCACAAACACATAATCGCCAGAATCCCAAAGGATTTCACTTATATATTGACTGATTAAGTGAATGTTTATTCGAGAGAGAGAGAGAGAGAGAGAGAGAGAGAGTCATAAGAGAGCCCTGGGCTCTCATTAACACAAAACGCTAAGACATATTGCGATGACGTTTACGACTCGTTAATGACTAAACAAATTAATAGATATTTGTCGAGATTTTTCCAACTATTTTTAATTTTATATTATATTAAAGCGATTTGTGAAAAACGGTTTGTTTTGTGTTATTGATAAAAAAGCAAAACAATAGGCATTTCTATTGAAACCCTATTCTCATTGAGAATATCTGGTTGTGTGTAAAGAACTGAGACATTAATTCTTTGCACAAAACCAATGCATTTGGAGTTAAGTTTGCATTCAGTGTTCAACACAATGAAGAAAACACTTTTTTACAAATAAATTCAATGGTTACACAGAAATATGTGTTTTGTGTTTTTTAAAATTCAATTGTATTATTCAAAAGCCTACTCAAAACAAAAGTAAAACTCAATTTTTTCACACCATTAGTATTATTCAATCAATTAATCCCTTAGTTTCACTAAAACTTATTGTTTTTTCTAAATATAAGTTTTTAAATGCTTGGAAACCTGAGAAATTTAAGCTCAAAAATGCTTTCAATAAAAAATTACCAAGGATTTGTAAATAAGCGCATATAAGTGGGTGAAGAACAGTATATAATTATATCGGATATTATCATATGAAAAATATTACACCCATAATATTATTACATAAATTGAAATACTATTGAGATTTTTTAAAACAAAATTTTTTAAATAAGATTCGGATATTTTTTTTATAAAATATTATATAATTTTATTACTAAAACGGATTAAATATAACTTAAGCGTTAAGTGAATGAATTTGTTTTTTACACCAAATACTAACCAAACAATTATAGTGCAATCAATGAGAAGTTCATTATAGTAGTACACAATTGTGTGATTATTACTAACAGTATTTCGGCCACAGATTTATCTTCGAGAGAGAGAGAGAGAGAGAGAGAGAGAGAGAGAGATCCAAGAGATTTAAGTCCAACAAAATGACAGGTTTTGACAGATTAAGAGGTTATCTACACAATATGAACAAGGATATGAGTATGGGTCATACTGTATGGCCAAGTTGTTATTCATAGAGTGGATTATTTATATACAGTAAACTGATAAGTTTTACAGGTATAATATACTAGCTTAAAATATTCTGGATCATATTATAATTATATACAGTACTGGTACAGAATAATTGTTGTTAAAATTGTAAATTTCGTAAAAATATTTATCATTCAATTAATAATTCATTAATTCTTTGAATGATTAGAAATGTGCCAACAATTGGATAATAATATCAAACTTATCATAAACTAATACTGTATGTCGACTGTTATGTACTAACTTGTAAAGTAATTAAATCAAATTCTGTAAATACAAAATCATACAGCTATGACAGTTGACATTAGTTTAATATATATTTTAGCATGACTTTATTTGCGAATTTATAATCAAATGGAAATTTGAAATTTTTTAAACTCCAGAGACACACAGATTTGCCAGTTCAAATATTATATAACTTATGAAAATATTATAAATTATGTGAATATATGAATAATTTTTAAAAATTAATATTTATCGTAACACCACTTTATTAATAATAACAAAATGATTGATTAGAAAATAAGAATTTTAATTAAAAATACTATGGTCTATTGATTTTGAAAAATTAGCATTAATATAGTCATGCAATTGTTTTGTTTAAAATACATTAAGTGCTTCAAAAGTGCACTTATATTAAAAAATATATATAACGATTATTAATATTACAAAACTGTTATAACATTTTAAACGCCATTTGATTGCCTATACACACAGCGGTCCGACACATACACCGACATACCATTACCATTACTGTACGAGAATCAGGTAATAACTTATGCCATACTTTATAGCGTTTCCATTAAATTCAATGATCATAAGAAGTTTGACATAATTTTCTCGTAAAATAAGTCATTCATGAAGTCATGCAAACGGTTTTAATACTATGGAAATGATGGCATGTATATAGTTTTGGACACAAAAATCGCTAATGAGTTTCGCAAAATGAATATTCAATTGAATAGTAAATTAGAGAATATTCTTACCTTAAAGCACACCAAACGCGGCCACAAATGTATGAATATTTATAATATTAGTGTCGAAAGCGTTTTTATATATTTGGTTACGAGTAGTAATTATGAATATTATTAGTGAGAGTCGAGAGAAAATAGCACTTAATATAACATAACATTAATTCAAAGTCTTTCAGCGGATGGTTAAGAAGCAGCAAAAAATTGAAGACAAAAAACGCGATAATAAGCGGAATATATATAACTTATAGTGAACTCCGAGAAAATAGCTGTTATTTTATTAACTTCTAAACGAGTGTATTGTGTATTGGAATCGGAATATAGCGATATATGCCTTGAAATATATAGTGAATTATAAATTGATGACTATTTGATAATATAAATAGCAGTCAATATTGTCGGCCTCCCCTATCTGACTCTAACCATAAACCGTACGGAGTTTTTAAAGCATTACTTTTAGTGCCAATTCATAGACTACTGGATGACACAAAAGCAGCTTATTTTCGGATCTCTCAAAAACTTTCTCTCAGCAACACTTGTGAGCAGTTTGAGTGATACTGCCTTACGTTATATACCATTCATTATATATCTATACCGACAAAGTTTTCATCGAAATACACGCCAACTATTGCCCACTTGTGTGCCACGAATGCATCGCTAACTACCATTCAATTCCTATATTCTGTGAGCTATGCCATCGTTGCAGCGCTCGATAGGCACACAAAATCATCGAATATTCCCGTCATATGTAACCATATCTCGAGAATAACTAAACTATAAATCACACAAAAATCTAAACTCATTAAAATTCTTACACTCAAATATATAATCAGTGCAAAACAACTTTATAAATCCATATTAACACACAATGACCAACATATAAATCGCTACCAAACTATGCCGGAAACAAATCTCACGACACGTAAACCCTCAGGAATCGCTTCAAACAGTGTGTTCGCCAGCGTATAGGCGCCGACAGAGGGCGTCACCAGTGCCTGTAGGCATCGGATGGGTCGGTGAGTCGTGTGGTGTCCTATGCAGTGAGTGTCAGCCTCTCAACAGTCGACCAAAGCGTACAAAACGACAATTACTTTGAAATATTGTTTGCGTTTCTCAGTGTCTACTCGAGAGGGCTATTGTATGGCTCGCAGTGACCACTCATTCACGCCGTCAACGCATACATGAGTTGTCATTAAAAACACTGTTTTTTACAATAATTTTGTTTTTACTTGAGTTTTGAGATTCAGTTTTCGTATCGTTTCTTGAGTTTGTTTTTAGACTTTTGTTTTGTTTGTTATTGTTATGCATGTTATGCGTTACGCAAACCCCGGGTGACACCGATGTCTCGGCAACTGATCCCACGTTACGGTCGCCGCCGCTGAAGACATAATAACCACGGATTCGCTGGCATTCAAGTTAACCCTAAGAGTGGTTCCGTTGTATTGAGTTTTTTCTGTTGTTTTGTTTACACCAATAGTTTACAGCAATTAGTGTTAAGTTTGTATTGTTATCATCACTACTACTATATATCACCCACTCGTGAGTGCCATCACCACCACTGACACCATTCCCGTCGGACACCATCACTGAATGGACAATGACTTCCATCTATGAGTTGTCACTGAAGTACGGCTTACCGCAAGAGCTGACGGACAGCGATCTGCAGCTGAAGCTCAAAGACCTGAAACTCTACGTCAAAGAGGAGATCCGCAAAGAGCTGAAGATCAAAGAGGGCGCCGAAAACCTCCGCAGAGTCACCACCGATAAGAAGTCGCTGTCGAACGTCAACTCCATCGTCAAGAAGTCCAACAATAAGCTACAGGAGCTCCAGGAGGACCTCCAGGAGCTGAATGCCCACATCGTCGTCAACCACAGCCACAACTCGATCGGCGACGCCTTCAACGACCAGTCGTCGGCCGTGGGCTCCGATCGCGAGGACGCCTCGTCGGACACCACCGCCGGCGATGTGCCGGTGATGTCGGCCAACACGCAGCGACTCCTGTCGCTCGAGAAGCAGTTGATGATAGAGATGAAGGTGAAGACGGGGGCCGAGAATATGATCCAAATGTACAGCGGCTCCAACTCGAGGGACAGTCGCCGCAAGCTCTTAGCCGAAGCGCAGCAGATGCTGGCCGACGCCAAGGCTAAGATGGAGTACATCCGGATGATGATCATCAAAGTGAAGCAGAGGGACGCCATCGGCCTCAACAGCGCGCACGACAACAACGGCCACTCGTCCGGCAACTCGAGCCTGTGTTCGCCGGGAGGCGACCCCTCCGGCGGCAAACTGCCGGAGATTATGTCGCCGCTCGAGTTGCGCACCGAAGAGCTCCGGCATCGGCTGAAAGTGGAGTGCGCTGTAGTGGACGGCGCCAAGAATGTCATCAAACTGTTGCAGTCGTCCAAAGTGACCGACAAGAAGGCCCTACAGGAGGCCCAGTCCTCCCTATTCGAGTCGTCGCAAAAGGTGGACGTCTTGCGGAAGGGGCTCGACGTGTGTCGAAGAATGTCATCAAACTGTTGCAGTCGTCCAAAGTGACCGACAAGAAGGCCCTACAGGAGGCCCAGTCCTCCCTATTCGAGTCGTCGCAAAAGGTGGACGTCTTGCGGAAGGGGCTCGACGTGTGTCGTCAACAGCTGCCGCCCGGTTCGCCCAAATCGGCCGCTCTTAAGCTGGAGCTCGAGTCGAGTCAGTCGGTGACGCCCACCATCTACTCGCCGACGATCGCCTACAGCTCCGGCCGCCACTCCGTCCAAAGCACGACACCGGCGACCATCACGAAGGCGGCGGCCGTCACCGGGAAGCTAGAGGTGCGGCTCATCGGGTGTCAGGGGCTGCTGGAGGACGTGCCGGGCCGGTCGCGCACCAACTCCATGGCCGGCGACGGCATGCGATCCGTCGACCGCTCGAAAGGCTTGTGGCGGACGTCGTCGCGCAGCTATTCCATCAAAGACGAGATCTCCAACGAGATAATGGCTGTCCTGAAGCTGGATAACGTGTCGGCGGGACAGACGACGTGGAAGCCGTGCTCGCAGAAGGCGTGGGACCAGCGCTTCAGCCTAGACCTCGACCGGAGCCGTGAGCTCGAGATACAGATCCTGTGGCACGACTGGCGCTCCCTCTGCGCCCTGAAGTTCGTACGGCTCGAGGAGTTCATAGACGACAACCGGCACGGGATTGCTCTGCATTTGGAGCCGCAGGGCATACTCTTCGCGGAGATTAAGTTCTTGAATCCCATGATCTCCCGGAAGCCGAAACTGCAGCGCCAGAAGCTGTTCCGCCATAAGGGCAAAAACTTCCTGCGACCCAATCAGATGAACATCAACGTCGCCACATGGGGTCGGCTCATGAAGCGGTCCTTACCTCAGGCCTCGTCCGACCAGAACATCGCCACCACCGCGACGACGACGGCCGCGGCGGCGCCCAAGCCCTCCGTAGACCTGTCGGTGTCCGCCGCCGACTATCCGCCCAAACCTAAGCCACGACTCGTGATGGAGAGGACAGACTCGTCCGACTCGACGTCCAAGAAGTTGTTGTCTGCGAATCAAAGTATTAATAGTAATAATAATAACTCGGGATCTGTTTCGTCGTGTGGGCTGTCGTACGACGACTCGCAGATCGGTTCCGCTCTCCAAGAGTTCGATTTCCTTCAAGAGATATCCGTGTCGTCGGCCGACACCATCAGCCCTACCAGTCCTGTGGTTCACGAGCCGTCGCCGGACATCGTGTCCGCCGTGAGCGGCAAACTCCGCGACCTCGACATCTCGTCCGTCGACACCAACGCGTACGACAACTACCGGAACGCACGGCCGCCCTGCTATCCGCCCAGTCCTGAGCCCATCGTCGATATGCCTGACGACGAGCCGCTGACCCCTCGAGTCGACCCCTTCTCCGGCGGTGGCATCGGTTTAGATAACTTCGAGTTCATTAGTGTTCTCGGAAGAGGACACTTCGGCAAAGTATGGCTCCGTTTCTGTTGTGTTAGCGACACATTTGACACCCATTTCCTCACATTGTATTCGCAGGTAATCCTCAGCAAACACAAGAAGACCGGCGAATACTTCGCCATCAAAGCACTGAAGAAGGGCGACATCATCGCCAGGGATGAGGTGGAGTCGCTGATGGCCGAGAAGCGCATCTTCGAGACGGCCACTCGCGTGCGGCACCCCTTCCTCGTCAACCTATTCGCCTGCTTCCAGACGACACAACACGTCTGCTTCGTCATGGAGTACGCCTGTGGGGGCGACCTAATGATGCACATCCACAACGACATCTTCAACGAGACGAGAGCCACGTTCTACGCGGCCTGCGTTGTGCTCGGCCTCCAGTACCTCCACATCAATAACATTGTCTACAGGTATGCCATCCCATCCCCACCCATACAGTAAGCGTGTAGTGGTTTCTCATGGATAACGCGATTGTCGTGTTTCGCAGGGACTTAAAACTGGATAATCTGCTGCTGGATAGGGACGGGTATGTCAAGATCGCCGACTTTGGTCTCTGCAAAGAGGGCATCGGTTACGCGGACAGGACAGGCACCTTCTGCGGTACGCCTGAGTTCTTAGCGCCCGAAGTACTGACGGAGACGTCCTATACGCGAGCGGTCGACTGGTGGGGCTTCGGTGTACTTATATTCGAGATGCTTGTCGGAGAGGTATGTGCCCTACCGTTCCCTCAATAGCTATCCATTCGGTGTTTGATTTTGACGATTCGCTTCTCTATTGTAGTCTCCGTTTCCCGGCGACGACGAGGAGGAGGTGTTCGACAGTATAGTCAACGATGAGGTCCGTTACCCGCGATTCCTGTCACTTGAGTCCATAGCCATTATGAAACGGGTATGTCGTGAATGAGCGCCTAATGAGGCAACACTTGACTAATTTGAATGCATTTGTCGGACAGTTATTGCGTAAAAATCCCGAACGAAGACTCGGTTCCAGCGAACGGGACGCCGAAGACGTCAAAAAGCAGGCCTTCTTTAGAGTAAGTCATCGCTGAATCGCTGTGGGAATCGGTGTCCAAATTGTAATCAAAACTATCTTTCGTTATCTTCGCGTACGAGCAGCACATCAATTGGGAAGACCTGATCACCCGTAAGACTCGGCCGCCATTCGTGCCGACCGTCAAATCGCCGGAAGACGTGACCAACTTTGACGAGGAGTTCACGTCAGAGCAGCCGGTGCTGAGTCCGCCCAAAGAGCCGCGAACACTGATAGCCAAAGAACAACAACTATTCAAAGAATTCGATTATAGGGCCGACTGGTGCTGATGTCCAGTTCCCTCCCCTCCCCCCACACACGCAAACACACCCACTCTCTCTCGGCCCAGCCATTCATAAACACAGTGTTACTCGTCATCGCCCGGCCGTCCGCTTATGTATACAACAACAATGCAAATACAATCACATCAGCAGCCGTTCCCGTGTGGGGGGCCGGCAGTGACGACCACAACATAATAAACGCTTAAATTATTTCCTATTTATATATACAGTATATTAATGTAAAATGTTATGCAAAACGAAACGCTATATCAATTCAAACTGAAACCAAAGCTCTGGTCACAGCAAACACGCCGATAGACAGGGGGTGTTCTCATCAACGGGTGTCGTTCCCCTCTCAGCATGTGTTTGCAGTTGACATTCGTGTGCCTTAAACAGTGAAATGACAAAACAATACTAAACACTACATAACGCTATGAATTTCAATGGTTCTCAATGTGTGCGCGTTTTTATGACCACTCAATACGACGGATAAGTGTTGACATCAAAAATGCAATACTAATGGTAGCTATTAATGTGATGTACGGCCACTATATTACCCGTTCTCACCGGACAAACACTACTCTCTATCTACAGTATATACACACCAAACCAGTATATGTCTCAACTCACATAAACCGATGCCTTTTTGTATTGTCACCACAAAGTATATACACCAATGAGATATTCACAGCCACTGGTGGTCTCCATACGAAACCCCCAAACAATCAAAACCTAAAATCTTATACCAATTTGTATCTGTTTTTCAATCGTTTGAATCGATGTTTCCATTAATTTTAGTTATTAAATGAATTGAATATAAAAAACAATCGCTTTTTAATACCAATTATTTTATTTTTCGAAAAATTAATAATTTCTATTCGACACCAATGGGTGGGCCCACTAGTCATCGCCGCCGGCCTCCAGGCGCGCAATCACCGCCCGCTTCCTCTGCGCGATCTTATTCTTCTTGACGGCGAGCGTCAGCTTCTTGTCGTTCCATCGCTTCACCTGTGGGTACGTCTTCTTAGCCGTCGGCTTATACTCGGGATCCGCGCGGATGGCCGCGTGAGCCTTGGTGTAGATGCTCTCCAACTGGCCGTCCATTGCGAACACAACAATACGTCAGTCAAACCATTCACTCACAAGTTATCGCATTTTGGAAATTACAGTCGACTCTCGATATATAAAAGCGCTAACAAACCATAAGTTAACTGTGAATACAGTTCACAGAGTATTGGACACTAATGAACAATACGATCGTCTACTACAGCACCAGTAGTTCACTACTTATACACCCATATCGAGAGCCAACTGTTCCCATAAGTGCTATACGAGCGCTCACCTCATCGGGAGTTATGCCTAATTTGGAGAACCGGGAGAACTGGCGTTTGTAGGCCTCCTCGTCCTCCTCCATCAGGTTCTTCATATAGTCGGCCACGTGTTGGCCGAAGATGTGCTGCCTGTGCACAGCAGCCGAGAACTCCTTCGACTCCGAGTCGTATCCGGGGAAGCGTTTCGTCGAGTGCGGGATATCTATACCCCCGTCGGCCGCGCCCTTCATCGCACCGAAAATACGGGCGCCGGTCGTCGTGCGGGCCAGTCCTACGTCGAGGTACGCGCGGAATGCACGCGGCTTACCCTCAACGTCCTCCACGTTGTACTGCTCGCCGGACACCTGTTCCGCGCCCTTATAGATGTCGTCCAAATGAAACTTCTTCAGCAACTGTCACCGCAAATGGGTTTCCAAAGAGATTACCGATTAATACAACAATCCATTCACACACTCGTGAGAGAGAGAGAGAGAGAGACATACCCTCCGGGCGAGTAAGAGTCCGGTGCAATAGGCGGCGGCATAGTTGGTGAGCCCCACTTTGACCCCATATCGGGGCAGTTCGTGCGCATAGGCGGCGCACACAACGACATCGCCCTCAATCTTCGCGTACGCGATCTGAGTGATGATGTCTTTGTTGCTGAACCTCACGATCAGCCGATACTTCGGTGTATTGTATTTATTCTTGTCCTGAATCACAAGCCGCCGGCGCGCGTAGTAATCGGTTTTGCCCTCTGGAGGCGCCCATCGGGTCATAAGTCAAGACATTAGTTCTGGGAGACAATGGCCGTCGCCTCGAGACATACCTCTCCTCCTCTTGAACTTCACCTGAAACCTCTTGAAGTAGGCCTTGTTTTTGACCACTTTTACGAATCCCTTCTACGAGTGAGACATTCAAAGACAACGCAAAGCATGAGATCACCGGCGGATCAATTGGTACTCTCGCGTGAAAGACATCTCCAGACAAACGCCAAGAGTTTTCTCTCACCACAAAAAAACAGGCAAACATTGCCTCAAATGAGTGACTCTTTTGTGGCATTAGATCCAATCAAAAAACTCTTGGCGTTCGTTGGGATCAGTCTCGCGATGGCTTAACCGCGAGCTAATCGCGTGGTCGACGCATACCTTAACCATCTTTGCGGTGATATCTGGCGAAGAAGTGGTGACGAGTTGTCAGCGTTGGCTGTGCTCTGGATATACACAACACGGAAAGGAAGCGATGACTGGAAATGCGGTCCAAAAGGCATGCCTTCCGGTCGTTCACAACAGACGTCACGTTTGGAGGCATTCATTGAGACGTCATTTGTGGCGACAATTGGCGCTCGAATTGGTTTCGCTCTCGAGTTCTGGTTTTGTTTTTCACTCAAAACCCGTCGTTTGGATCAACTTTTCGGTGATATCTTCGCCCGAAATGCCGGCCAATGAGTGTCCGTTCGACGACTCCTTCGAGGTATGTATGGCTGGTGTCCGGCATCACCGCAATTGGTCCCCAGAATCCGTTTGACAGGCATTTGGTGTTTGAGTTTATCATTGATTTGATTTGTCTTTGATTTGATGGCAAAGGATTCGATGATAGCGTCGATGACTGTCGACCACAACGACGGCAACACCGGTGCTGTCGATGACGACGACGATGTCTTCGCGCAGCTCTTCTCCGCCGACATCGACGACGAGCGCACTCTTCTGCGGCTGTCGGCCGACGAACTGTTGCCACACATTGTCCTCAACTTCGATGAGTTCTGCGTTCGTCGCGCCAACGGATCCACTGATTGCCACTTCGAGTACGTCTTGGGTTTGACTCATTTGATGCAAAAGTTGGTCCAAATCGAGGACAATGTCGTCGACTTGTGGATCAAGTCGTCGAAACAGTCGCGCAATTGTCTGTTGACCGCAATCTTCCGCTTTATTCCCAACTGTGGTCTCGAAGTCTGTTCGCCGAAAGTCGTCGACTTGTGTCCAATCGATCACAAGATGTAAGTCTTTGGCAGTCATTCCATGGCTTACCATAAGAAGTGTCTAATGATTGCTGTTTTCTCTCTGTTTTTGATGACCAGAAGAATGAGTTTCTATGAGTTCTTGTGCTTCAGTGTCTGCCAACTGATGATGACTTTGAGTGCAAATCAGATGCCATTTGTGGAACAGACGCTCTTCGAGAACCTCTTATCCGAAGACTGTATTCGCCATCAGTTGGCGTCCGATGTCTTGTGTTTCATCTCTCGTTTCAATGAGTCGTCAGCTCTTTGTTACCACTTTTGTTCACTTCTGATGACTATGTCTTCACATATCGACCACCGATTGGTTCCCAACACCACATCACTGCTCAACCGATTGTTGCCTTTCCTGAAGCCTTCAGAACTCCAGTATTTGATCAGTGATTACGATCTCATCAAACATTCAAAGACATGGAGTCTTCTGAACGTATCCCTGGTTCTGTCGCCTCAAGAGATCACCAAAACTGTTGACAGATATCAGACATTCATTGCTGAGGGAAGACCTCTCACTACACACGACTTGAATCTGATGTCTAATCTGTTGACCACTCATGCGGTCGACGACAAGACCCGCGAAAACACTTTTATCACTATTTTAGACAACTTTTCGCAATCAAATGACTGCAAACTGAACATACATTTCATCGATTTGTTGACTGTTTTGACGCCCAAAAGATTCAATGATTTAAATGTACTGAAAATCACCGCAAAATTCACTGATATTTTCAAACAAAAAACATTGGATTTAAGACTAATTGACAAAATATTGATGTTTTTGGTCCGACTCTCAAACGTCAAGATTTCTGAAGGCTTTGAGAAAAGTGTCGTCAAAATGATCACAACATCAATGAATCACTTGTTTTCAAATCACCACAACTTTTACGCTAAATATCTAACTTTGAAAGCAATGAAAACCATTTCATTGAAGTCCAAACGGATTGCGATTATCACTGAATGCTGTAAAGACAACCAAACACTGAAACAACAGTTCACTCATTATATTACGATAATTCGAGTAATTTTTTAATCAAATGTTTATTAATTAAAATAATTAATGATTTTATTTCTCATATATTTCTCAGAGAAACCAATTAATGGACAAAAATGTGATCAAAACTTATTTACAAAATACGATTGCATTGGAAGTCAAGCCTCGAAGGTATGGCAGAAGTGATGACAACTCGAGTCCAATGAATGCGAAGAATAAGAATAAAAAGAGACGAAAAATAGTCGACGAATCGGATGAAGACTTTGACGACAGTCTCGATTTTATGGTCGAAGCCATGGAAGAGGGCTTTAATGGCGCCGACACTCAATGAGTCCTTGGATTCAGTCGTCTTCCTCTTCAGGTCTAAGACTTCCGAACACTTCTCTCGGAACCATCTTTTGCTGGATATCTGTTAGAAACAAACCATTCATTAGTTATTAATTATTCGTAAAATTTTTGGTAATTATTTTAATTATTTGTAAATAAAATACTATTTTATTATAACTGAAAGCCTACTGACCGGTCGACTTCTTAGCGCCGGTGTCCTCCCCGTCATCCGCGTCCTCCTCTTCATCCTCGTCGTCGTCGTTGATATCGATTTCGTCGGGATTTGCTGTCTTAAAACTTATTTACAAAATACGATTGCATTGGAAGTCAAGCCTCGAAGGTATGGCAGAAGTGATGACAACTCGAGTCCAATGAATGCGAAGAATAAGAATAAAAAGAGACGAAAAATAGTCGACGAATCTGATGAAGACTTTGACGACAGTCTCGATGTTATGCTCGAAGCCATGGAAGAGGGCTTTAATGACACTCAATAAGTCCTTGGATTCAGTCGTCTTCCTCTTCAGGTCTAAGACTTCCGAACACTTCTCTCGGAACCATCTTTTGCTGGATATCTGTTAGAAACAAACCATTCATTAGTTATTAATTATTTGTAAATAAAATACTGAAAATAATATTGACTTTCGGATGACTGGCCAGCTGAAGAATCGCGGCCACAGGAGGGGCAGTAGGCGCAGGAGGAGAAGTAGGAGCAGCAGCAGCAACTATAGCTAAAGCAGCCCTAAACGACAGAACGGCAGCGAATCGACGATCTCTTCGACGGCTTTTGTGGTCGACTTGACAAACATAACCGCACTCTTCTGCTGATTGGCTCTCATGTTATTATCGGCGTTCGTCTCGACGACACTGCTCTCCAACGCACTCATGCGAGTGACCGCATCGGACGGCTGTCCACCGCCGGGATTAACGGCGGCCAACATCTGGGCGGACATGTAGTTGACTTGAGTGTTGAAGGTGGCGGCCACTGAGCGCTTGATGCGCAGCATCTCGCGAATGGTGTCTTCGTTGCCGTGTTTTATCTCAAACTCCTTCCACGTGTTCCAGAAGTTGGCGGACGTCCGCGGGTCACACATTTGGCTGCAGTGGCCGTATATGGCGCGAGCCCTGTCTATCTCACCCAACTTGCGCTCCAACTCCGCGAACCGGACGCACATCTCCTGCGCCTGGCTGTCGGACAGGGCGTCGATCGCCTTCTCGTAGATCTGTCGCGTGTGAGTGACGCCAAACATTTGGGACGCCTTCCGCACAAACACGTTATACATGTCGAAGCGCTCGTCGGCGGGGACGGCCTCCACCGCGCGGTCGTAGATATTCATCGCGTGTTTCGCCAAACCGTACGCCTCCTCGCACTTCGCGTATAACAGGTATATAGTCTTCGCGTACTTCGCGGGACAGTCGGCTAAACACTGCTCGAACAGATCCCTCGCCCGCTCCAACTTCGAGCCCTTATACCTGTCCATGAATTTCGTTAAATACGTGTTCCATATGTCGTAGACGTTGGGCCACCGGAACAGCGACACCCCCTTCTCGTACGCTTTGAACGCCTCCTCGAAGTAATTGAGTTCTTCGAGGAATAGGCCGTAATTGATGATTATCTGCGGTGTGGCTATCCTTAGCTCAATGATGCGGTCGTAGACGGCTTTCGTCGTCGTGAACGTCCCGAAGCTCTCCTCCAAGTCGGCGAACATCGACCACACCTTCAGACTCTTGTGGAGCCGATTCTGCGCCGTTTCGCTCGCGTCGTAATAGCCCACCCGCTTGGCGGCGGTGCCTCCGGGCGGGGCGGCCGTCGCCCTGTGCATGAGCGCCAGCGCCGCCTTCCAGTGGTCGTGTCTCAGCTCCATCTCCGCCCACTCGCACCACACGGCCGCCAACTCCTCAACCCGAGTGAACGCCGTCTGCGTCGCCCTCTCGAAGATGACCCGCGAGTCCTCCAACTGATCGGCCTTTTCATAAAACTTGGCGAAACTGATCCAAAGAGTGTGCAGTTTTCCCGACGACTGCTTCGGGTCGACGGTCTGCACGGCTTCGGTGAATACTTCCACCACTTTCGCCGGCTTCGACTCCAAGAGCGCCACCCGTTTGTGCCACTCGTCCACGTTATGCGGGTTCTGGCGTAAGGCCACCGAATTCAACAGCAATGGCCGCCTCTCTATGAGCTCCTCATAGCGGGCCAGACGTAGCTCGAGGTCGGCGTCGTCCTCATCGGTCACACTCTCGGAATCCATCTTCGCTTTAATCAACTGCTCCTCACTCTGGGCGTAGGCGTCGAACACCTGCGAGAAGTCTTTGATAGTCATGACGGACAGCACCGCCTCTTCGTACACATCGCGCGCCTTATCGAAGAGACCGCTGCGGATGTGATACTCGGCTAAACTGATCCAAAGCATCGCCTGCTCGTCGGTGTAGCGCTTAATGCCTTCCCTGAGAATGGCCTCCGAGTTGAGTGAACACACTTTGTCCGGATTCTTGCAGATGATGTCTGCCAATTCCGTCCACAACTGGTGCCTCGATTTGCCCGCTTTGGACACCCAGTCGTCTCGATTCACGACACGCGCCAACTGGACGGCCGCCTCATCCACGCGCTCCACACCAATCAAGTACTGCACGTAATCCTCGGCCTCTTCCGGCTGTAACTTCAGGTACCGTTTGTAGAGCCGGACCGCAGTCTCCGGGATGTCGTACTCGCGGATGAGTCGCAGATACAGCGGCCAAACGCGGTTGTGTTGTGTGATGGGCAGCGCCTGTAGGGCCCGGTCCAGAGTGCGCCGACACCTCGTGATCCGGTTCTGAGACATCAAGAACTCGGCGAAAGTGATCCAAATTCGCGGCATTTTGTGCATAAAAACCAACGATCGCTCGAAACAGTTGTTCACGTCTTCGGCGGTGGGATCCGTCGCCGGTTTGCCACTGATTTGGGCCACTCTTTGGCGGAGGAATGCGATCCACAGCTTATAACTGCCGGGGAGTTCCCGGAGGGCCCTCTCGTACACCATATTCAGCGCCTCCGGAGTCGAGTCCTTCTTGTGCGACGCGTAACGCATCCAATGCTTCACCGAAAACGGGTTCCGAAGGATGTCCTCCTCGAAGGCCAGGTCTTCGGCGCTCTTAAGACGTGGAAAACAATGGTTTAAACGGTGAACACATGCGGGAGAGACCGACAACTCGTGTCGCGTCTCATCCGTCGGATGTCTTACCGGAAGAAAGCATTTCCTCATCTCTTCGTACTCTCTGTCGTCCATCTGATGTCCGTCTTTGTGGTGATAATCGATGGCAACGTATATCTCACACAATGTTTACAAAACGTGAGAGTCTGACGTCATTATAACGATAACTATTCACACATTACGTGACATTCAATGCACACACATTTGCCCCCCAATTATGTCTCAATGATATCATATGAATATTTGTGCCCATTATGTGCCCCTCTCTCCCCTTCCCTTTCATTCAGTGCACGTTATCTGTGAACGAATGCCATTCATTGACTGCCCTCTCATTGAAAACACATTTGATTTTCAATTCATTCAACGATTAATTGAAACCAATTATGAAGTCATCCGTCGGTTCGCGTCTTCACTGTCACCACAAACGGGTCCACAACTCGACAGTCAAGTGATTGGCGGACATCACACACACACTCACAGACATTGTGTGACAAACACTGCGGAAGAATGTCTTCGCGAATGCCATGCAATCACCCGATGAGTGGTTGTGTGCCATCCCTGCCCTCCATGTCCTCCGCAGCCATACCCTCACCGCTCATGCCTTCAGTGCCGCCAATGGTTGCGATGAACGGCTGCGACCAGTGGTCAGCCGTTTGGACGACTCCTCCCAATCCGTACCAACCCTTCGCTTATCAGCCATTGAGCGGACAGTCGGCCATCGGTTCCCAACCGATGCCATCATATGTGATGAATGGCTTCAACAACCCCTGGAATGCCATGTCTTTAATGAGACCACAAATGAGTCCCTTTTTGGCCACAAATTGTGCCGAAAGTCACCCACTCTTCGGAGCCATGAGTGCACTGACGGCCGCCGCGAGTGTGCCGTCCCTTCCGTCGCAAAGATATCCTCAAAGTTGTGATAATAACGGCTCTAATGGTTCGCAAACGCAACGCAACAACACTTATAACACGTCTTTCGATGTCTTAAGCAGTCATTCGTCGCATCAGAAGAAGCTATACTCGAGTCATAAGAATCGCGAGTCCTATGAAAGAGTGGACACAAACAGAGATCACAAGAATCGCCGCAAACGAGACTTCAGTCACAAAACGAGTCATCAGTTGAGCGATAAGTCGAGACACAAACCAAACGAACGGATCTCTGATCGCAGAGACCATTGTCTGTCGGATAAGACATCGGATGCGAAGCCAAACAAAACTGGAGACAAGTCGTCAGAACCCGAGTCTAAGCGGAAGAGGTATCCGAAGAGTAGGTCCAGAGAAGAGACACCGAAAGCGAGTAACGAAGACAACAGACATTCCTCGCGAGTGAGCAAAGAGTCGACGGATAGGACGCAGACGTCGGCCACAGAGGCGACGGATGAGGTGTTGCCGAAAGCCGTCGTCGAGTGGATCCGATGTTCGCCTTCAGAGCTATTCTATGAGTGCCGAAGAGATAACGCGGAGTCCGTGTCGGCCACCAAACGGCTCATTGACTTACAGAAGAGGTTTCGCTACGAATTGATCGAAAGGGCCGAACGGGCCGTTCAGTCGAAGCCCAAGTTTGAACTCCCGGTGCGAACCGTTCGCCTCAAAGCTCCCAAACCAGGTATCCATCGATTGACTCATTGATTGGTTTGTGTTTTGCATTCAAATGAGTGTTAATCGCATTGACTGTCAGTCTTAAGCAGCGATTCCTCGAGTTGTGGCGAAAGTGACAGCAATGACGACGACTGCGAAGACACGGCTTATGAGGAATTGGAGCGCAAGAAGAGACACCCCTTAAGACTTCACGAGGAGTTGTGGTTCAATGATGTCGGAGAGGTATACCACTAGTCATAGTCATAGGCCTTGCCTTTCGCACCCCTTTCCCCACCCTTTCTATCGATTTGATCGCAATTTGAATGAATCGTTGAACGAGTGGTCGAACGGAACCACTCGTCCAGAGCTCAACCACTCCTTGAGATCGCAATCAAAAGTGTCTTCAAATTTGATGTGAATATAACGAGTCGTTTGAATTGACTTTTGTTTGCGTCGACAGATGAACGACGGGCCGCTGTGTCGGTGCAGTCAAAAGGCGCGTAAGACCGGCATTCGTCACGGCATATACCCGGGTGAGGAGCACCTGGAGCCGTGCGACCCGCTCGCCAACAACCGGCACCGCCTCCACCACTACCGCATCCACATCACGCCCGACACCAACTTCGCCACCAAATTCCCGACAGTCATCGCACACGACGGCCACGAGTTTGTCTTCGAGGGCTACTCGCTGTTGAGTCACTGGCCGCTCACGGATCCCATCGCCTGCAAAGTGATCCGCTTTAACATCGAGTACACCGTGACGTTCGTCGCCGAGCGCTTCCCCGCCAACTTCGCCGTCGAAGACCTCGAACTGTTCGCGCGGTTCGTCTTCGCGGAGACGCTCGAGTTGGTCGACCTGAACCTGAAGGCGCACCGGGAGGGCGAGGACTCGTGTCCGCGCTTTCACTTTTTGCCCCGTTTTGGGCGACCCCTCGACGACAACGGGAAGGAGTTGTTGTCAATGAATGTTGTGTTGCAGTNGTTTGAATTGACTTTTGTTTGCGTCGACAGATGAACGACGGGCCGCTGTGTCGGTGCAGTCAAAAGGCGCGTAAGACCGGCATTCGTCACGGCATATACCCGGGTGAGGAGCACCTGGAGCCGTGCGACCCGCTCGCCAACAACCGGCACCGCCTCCACCACTACCGCATCCACATCACGCCCGACACCAACTTCGCCACCAAATTCCCGACAGTCATCGCACACGACGGCCACGAGTTTGTCTTCGAGGGCTACTCGCTGTTGAGTCACTGGCCGCTCACGGATCCCATCGCCTGCAAAGTGATCCGCTTTAACATCGAGTACACCGTGACGTTCGTCGCCGAGCGCTTCCCCGCCAACTTCGCCGTCGAAGACCTCGAACTGTTCGCGCGGTTCGTCTTCGCGGAGACGCTCGAGTTGGTCGACCTGAACCTGAAGGCGCACCGGGAGGGCGAGGACTCGTGTCCGCGCTTTCACTTTTTGCCCCGTTTTGGGCGACCCCTCGACGACAACGGGAAGGAGTTGTTGTCAATGAATGTTGTGTTGCAGTACTTGTTGGCCAACAATGAGCTCATCATCGATGAGAAGCGTTTGGATGACTACAGGCGGATGTCGGCCGACG